TTCATATAGAGGCCGCTGGATGTGGGGACAGACCTATCTTTTCCATGGGGGCTCCAAGAACAGACCACTCCACAGAACATACTGAGGAATTGGGCAATCTGGGTGTGAGGGGAGGGAGGGCACTAACCAGATACTCACATGGACACTGAGCTCAGACTGTTGGAAAACAACTCCCTCCTGCTAGACAGCACTGTAGCACCCATGGGTCATCTTCATATACACTGCACACATACACACACAAACACTTGAACCACAGCATGCATGCACACACACACACACACAGAGAAATATACACATGTAAACATGGGCACACAGTAACCAGCACTCTCATACATGTGTGTGTACACATGGGTACATGTGCACTTTCCCATAAACGCATGCATATGTACACACAAAATGGGCCACACATACACTCACATTCACACACACATATATACATGTACATACACAGGCAAACACAAACACATAAGCTAATACACACTCACTCAAGCATACACATAGGCATGTTCCCACATGTGTGGCCACACATGCACACAAGCATATAAATATATGGACACACTAAAACATGAGAAAACATGCACATACTCACATGCACACTGATGTGTATACATATAGGCATATGCACAAACACATGGGCACACATACACTCACCTTTACACACATACATACAAGTGCACACATCCATACACATGGGCACACATAGGCTCAAGCAAACACATGCACACATGTACATATATATGCATACACACTAGTACACACATGTAAACACATGGACACACATACTCTCATTCATGAGCACATGGACACATATGTACACAGCACATGGGCATACTCATACACACACACATACATGTGCACCACTTACATACACACTGAGGCCTCACATGGGGCAAACTATACAATGCCTCCCTGTGTGTCCCTGCGAGCACAGTACCCAGGTCACATCAACACATACACTAGCCTCCTCCCATCCCTCCAAAGTTGCACATTACTGGCTGCTTCTAGCTCACCTGTACCTGACAAGTTCATACAAGACTGCCTACCCACAAGTACCCATGTGCTCCCTCCCAGACCCACCTCGAGAGCACCCCAAGGGAGCAGGCCTCCTGGTCTCCTCCCATCACCATAAGCACACTCCTGTGATGACAAAGATGGGCAGCAGCCTCCTGCTCACTCACTCCTGCACCTTCACTCATGGGCTCGGAACCTCTCACGATGCCCAGCAGCACAGGCTCACTCCTCAGCACCGGGCTTTCTTGTGGAGGGCAGGCTCTGCCGTCCCTCCTGTCCTCTGGGCCTTCTCACCCAGGGGAGAGGCACTGGAGACGGCTGCACGCTGCAGGGGAGCTTGGGGTGGCCTTTTCCCCTGAGGGCACCTTATACTGCCCTAATTATCCTCATGCTAGTGGCCAAATGAAAAGGTGTGGTTCCCACATCTGGCCGGGCTGTGATCAGTCCAGGAGATCCCAACTGTGATGGGGCCTGAGCTGTAGGAGAAGGATGGGACTGAGGACAGTGCCCGAGGCTGGGGAGGGGTCCCCAGCACTTTTGCAAGAAACCAGGCATGGCCAAGTAGAACTGATCTTGGGGATGTGCTGGCCTGGTCCTTTCTGAGAGGGGACAGGCGAGGGGACTATGGTACCACCACCCAACATAGATGGGGCCTTCCTCCTGGACATTCCTGCCCCCATCCCTGGGCCAGACCCCATGAAAGGGACACCTACACTGACCCCCTCATTCCCCTGTAGAGCTGCACCCAGACGAGAGCTGTGCGGAGGCCCAGGATGGGGAGCTGGACGGGCTGTGGACCACCATCTCCATCTTCATCACACTCTTCCTGCTCACTGTGTGCTACAGTGCCACCATCACCCTCTTCAAGGTTGGCCCCCAAGGCAACCAACTGCACCAGTCCCCAGCCAATTGCCCCCCCCCCCGGGGGGGGCTTCTCTCCCAGCACAGGCCCTCTGCACTGAGCAGGCAGACCTCAGGCAGGTGGTCAGAGGGAGCGACAGGGCCTCAGGGACTGAGGATGTGGGGGCCACAGACCACCTGAGAGACCTCCTGTGAAAGCCTGGACTAACCCACATGGGCACTTAAGGGTCTGGGGTTGCAAGGGAAGGGCCTATGGATGAAGGTGGGCATCCATGCCTACTGGGAAGGTCATCAGGCCCAAGGGAAGAGTGGCCAAATGGCTTCCTCAGGGTGTGCCATGTGAGACAGCCTCCATGGGCCCCTGGGCAGAGGTCCCATGGACAAAGAGAACGAGGGAAGGGAGAGGGGATGGGGGCTACCCCACTCACGGCTGCTGCCCTGTCACCCACAGGTGAAGTGGATTTTCTCCTCCGTCGTGGAGCTGAAACAGACGATTGTCCCTGACTACAGGAATATGATCGGGCAGGCAGCCTAGGGGCTCCTCTGAATGGAATCCACAGAAGCAAGACCTGCTATCGGCTTCAGGTGGCTCCACCACACCCTGTCCTCTGACCTTCCTCCCTGTGACCCACACTGCCCTCTGACCGTGGACCATGCTGCTTTGCCTCCCTCCTGTCAGAAAACCTGGTGGACAGCAGGTTCTCCCCCAGACCTCGTGGCCTGGACACTCCACCCCACCGTAGCTAAACAGAATTGACAGCTGCACCAGGAGTGCTGATGGGGTCAGAACTTTCACAGTCAGCTGTACCTGTCCATTCTGGAAGAGGAAATGGGCTGGTATTGCCAATATCCATATGGAGCATGGACCCAAGTGCAAGCCCCAACCAAGACCCAGCTCCCAGAGACACTGGGTGTCACAGATCCTTGGAGGGAGCATCCTGCACCAAGGAAGGGGAGCCACCAATGATGGTCCCGATGGGGATACTGCCTGAGAAGTGCTGCAAGCTTCACTGCATGGCCTTCCTCTGGGTTCTGGCCTGGCTAGCTCCACCTGGGAGACAGCTGGGATTTCTCCCATTACTTCTGTGGCCCCTGTTCAGGGAAATAGGCTCATTTTCATTTTTAGCTGCAAACTTGGTATCCTGCTCTTCGTATCTGATCTTGGTCTCCAGAAGTGCTGTCAGATGCAGGGTTCAACCCAATGGACAGATGATCTCAGCCTCTGCCTGCATTTGGGTAAGGAGAAGGGCACACTGAAGGACTCCTTGCCATCTCCCTGCCACCAACCCACCTCCAAAGACCCAGCCTCACCCCCGCCTGAGAGACCACCTGTGGAGGCCCAGACTACCAACATGGGCACTTCAGGGTCTCAGAGTGCAAGGGCAGGGCCCATGGGTGAGGGTGGGCATCCATGCCTACTGGAAATATCATCAGGCCTAAGGAACTAGTGGCCAAATGGCCTCCTCAGGGAGTGCCATGGGAGGCAGCCTCCATGGGCCCCTGGACAGAGGTGGCCAAGGACACAGAGCATGAGGGCAGGGAGAGGTGGTGAGACACCAGGATTGGTAAATGGTGAACAATACCCTGGTGGGAAGCCAGGCCAGAATTGTTCTAGGTGCTGCAGGGAGCTCGTAGGGCCATGTCTTGCCTTCGCTCTGCACCCTGTGTCTCCCATCTCCCCTTCAAGCAAATGATCAGCAGAGCCATACCACAAAGGAGCCAGATAACCAAGCACATGTCTTAAAGAGGAAAGAAGATGGTGCAAATGGAAGAGAAACACAGCAAGGAAATGTCATGTCTATCAGCTTTGTAGTTTCTTACTTCTTTGTAATTTTCTGAAGCCTCTTGGTTTTCTTTCATGAAAATGTGTTGTTCTCATTTTTCAATTACAATAAAATGTCCTTATATGATAAGAATTATCAGGGAAGTAGTCTTCTTATACTGAGCAGTTTCAGTTCCAGCTCCAGCAGTGAGATCAGCCAAGCCATGGGTAACAGAGTGCCTTGCACACACTCAACTCCTGGTACCAACCGGGAGCACCCGGGTCTTGCCAGAACTGATGTCTTTTCTCCTCTAGCAGACTTGCAGCTAGGGAGGCATTGGATGTGTCAGTCTAGTCTCCCTGTGACATGCATAGGATGAAGAAGTCTGAGGACAGCCTCCACCTTCACTGCAGGAACTGGCCCTTGCTCTGCCCTGCACCTTTCAGGATGAGGCCCCAAGGTGGTTGAGGACAACAAGCCAGTAGCAGTGACCTTGGCACTTAAGATGAGTCAAGAGAGGAGGTTGGAGGAGGCTGTATGGGGAGATGGCCAAAACCTGGAAGCAGAGACCCAAGTACCAGCACAGGAGGTGTGTCCAGCATTGGCCATGGCTGAGGGAGAAGCCCCATGCTGTACTGGGGGAGGGTGCAGAACCCAGCAGGGTGATCAGCAAAGGGGCAGCATAGAGCCTGGTCAAAAGGACTTTTGAGTCGCTGACCCATAGGGAGACCATTGGGAAAGGCAGGTAATTTTATGCAGAGAAAGTGTGTGGTGGGTCTCATTGGGTGGTCCAGCATGGGAGCTGTTCTGAAGACAGAGAGACCAGAAGGGGCATCCACCTGAGTCAAGGCTGAACTCCTGGAGTGGATGTAGATAGGAGGCAGGAGCTGTAACACTGACACTTCCCTACTGCTGCCTTAAGGGAAATAGCACAAGTGGGAGGCTTTGAAGAACAGGAAGTTATTGTCTCACAGCTCTGGAGGCTAGCAGTTAAAATTAGGGCATCAATTCTAAGAAAAGGAGGTGTCCATCCATGGTTGTTCCAGGAATTCCTGAGAAGTCCTTGGTCTCTGTCCACACTTTATGTGTGTGTCTGTGCCTATTCTTCCCTTTTTTATAAGATATCAGCCACCAATTATTTGGTTTAGGACCCATTCTGTTTACTATGATCTCCTAACGTGAAAATGGAAACCTTGTTTCCAAAAAGGGTCACATTCATGGGTACAGGGTTAAGACATCAACAGAAGTTGTTTGGAGGGACAAGAGGAAGGGGAAGAGCACCCGTGGCTCAGGGGGAGAACTCGCACCTTCCAGAGAGGAGGGAGGTTGGAGGAGGCTGCACGGGGAAGTGGTCAAAACCCGGAAGCAGGGCCCCAAGGACCAGCACAGGAGGTGTGTCTAACATTGGCCATGGCTAAGGGAGAAGCCCTATGCTATGCCAGGAGGGGGGCCAGAGCAAAGCAGGATGATCAGCAAAGGGGCAGCATAGAGCCTGGTGAAAAGGAATTTTGAGTCACTGACTCATAGGGAGACCACAGGGAAAGAAAGGCATGTAATTTTATGCAGGGAAGGTATGTGGACACCAGGTTCCAATTCCTGGCCAATGTACCACCTATCTGTCAATGGGGTTTGCATGCTGCTATGATGCTGCACGCATTTTATTGACCCTTCCAGGCTAAGATGGACTAGGAAGAAAGGCCTAGTGATGGACTTTTGAAAATCAGCCAATGAAAACCTAAGGATTTCAATGTCTCCACAACCAGGCATGGGGTGAGCATTAAAAGGCAAGATTTTGTTCCAATGTGCACGGGGTCAGGATGAGTTTGTGGCTGACATGGCAGCAAAGAAGAATAAGAATGCTTATATTTCCAGAGTAAACTTAACTTTTCTGGGGACATAATTTGTCCCATAACACCACAAAGGGGCCTTGTTTTGAACTCAGGGCAGAGCTTCAGGAACCAGAGATAGAGCCTGTTGTGTTCAGTGACTGGTGCCAAACCATGGCCCTTTAAACCATAAGAATTCCACATCACATAGCCATGGGTGAGGGTCAGAGGGCCCTGAATGTCTGCTTTTTTCCTGGCCTGAGTGGTCTGGCAGACAAAGGAATGCTACAACTGTCAGCCCCATCCACTATCCAGAGAGAGTGCTTGAGTTGATATTGGAACTCTCACACATCTGGACACCAAGTCCAGGCCAGAATATGGCTAGGCAAACCCAGGCACAGGCAAAGGAGAGAGATGTCCAGGATTTCTCCACTTGGAGAAGGTCCCAGCCCTCAATCCTCACCTGACAGACAAGGGTACCCATTTCCCCATGTCTGTGCATGACCAGAACGTCACCACCATCCCTCTGACCATGATGTCCTCAGCCTCTGGCTTGGTTCCTGTACTCAATGACCTGGCCAAGGTGTGATGTCCGAAGCATGGCACTGGAGGTCTGCCTCCCAGGTGGGCAACGTAGGCTGAGAAGGGATCAATGACTTCCTTCACATTCTATCTCCAAGCCCAACCATGTCCCTGCATGAATGTGTTTGGGGCTGGGTGCCTGGTAAAGGTCAGCCACATGGCCAAGGTCACCCCACTGACATGTGGAGAGGTGGGACTATACTTGGACCTCTGGATTTGAGGCTAGTAACCTACTCCAACACATGTCCATCCCCAAGCTCTGTTCAAATGCAGGCTGCTGATGATCAGGACAGAGGAAAGAGGCAAGAATTGGGTGTGACGGTTAAAGTGTGTTAACTTCCTAGGTGATGATTTCCAGGGGTTTATCAGTTATGATGTAGTCACCCCACGATGAGATCTGATATAATGTGATAATTTCTGTGATGAAATGTGCTATGAGCAGCCAATCAGGTAAAAGGATATTTCTTCAGGGGTGTGACCTGCTTCCAATATATATGGACTTTCTGGCAAAGCTGTTTTCCCTCACTCTGGATACTGCCTCTGGCTCATCATCATCTGACCTCCTGCTTTTTGGAGTTGAGTCAGCATCATGGCATACTGCCTGCCAATCTTGGGATTTATTAGCTTCCCCAGCCTGTGAGCCAGCAGCCTGCCATCTGACCTGCCAACCTCAGATTAGTCAGTCTCCACAGCCTATGAGGCAGTGGCTTGCCATCTGACCTGCTAATCTTGGATTGGTCAGACCCTGCAGTGAGTCAGGAGAAACCTCCTACCTGATATGTGACCCACAGACTTTGAACTCACCAGCATGTACAACCATATGAGCCATTTCTCTGAGACAAATAAATACATAAGCTTCACCAGTTTTGCCTTTCTAGAGAACCCAGCCTAAGAGCTTTTCCACATAGCATGTGGGAAAGGACAACATCATTGAGGAGCCCAGTGGCATCAAGGGGTGCAAAGACAGTTCAGGGAGGGTGCCATGAACCAAATGCATGAGAGCCAGCAGACAGGTTGGCTCTTACACAGGCTGTGATGTGTTTTTTCTGAGTCCTTATCCTGATGGTTAACCATAGCGCTGGTCCTCATTGTTCCCTGTCCCCCTAGCTGTGAGCTTGATGCCCCCAGGGGAGGAGGATACTCGTGTGTCCACTGACATCAGCCTTGGTGGCACTCCATTTCTCCTTTCCTCTTTCCTGAGAATAGATTGTTTCAGAAAGCACTTCTCTTTCAGCCTGGATCCCAGAACAAAGAAGCCACCAAGAGCAGAGCCATACCTAGTCACAGACAACTGCAAGTGTCCTGGGAATGGGAGAACAATAAAGCCATGATGCTGCAACTTCTCGACATTTTCGGGTTGTTTGTTACCACAGCATGTCCTAGCAAGAGATGACTGATACAGACTTTGTCAAAATGCTTGTCCAGTACTTGAGTAGTTCAAATAAGGATGAAAATGTAATAACCATGCAGGTGTATACATAGCATTTTGCCTTTTGAGGCTCTCCTGGACTGCCTTAGTCTCCAAGGGATATCATAACAAAATATTACAAAGGGGGTGGCTTCAAAGAATAGAAATTTATTCTATTCTCGAGCCCAAAAGTCCATATCAAGGTCTTGGTCATGCCAATTTCCTTCAAGGGATCTGAGAGAGGAACTGTTTCATGCCTCCCTTCTAGCTTCTGGTTGTTGTTGTTAGATGCCGTTGAGTTGCCTCCGACTCGCAGTGACCCCAAATACAGCAGAATGAAACTCTGCCCAGCCATGCACTATCCTCACACTCTTTTTTATATGTGACCCCAGCGATGTAGCTTCTAGCAGCTGCCAGCAATCCATGACATTCCTCAGTTGGCAACTCCATCTGCCTCAGTCCTTCTGTCTCTCTGTCTCTGTAACTCAGTTTTTATAAGATGCCCCTCAGACAGGATTAATACTAGGACACACACTATTCCTCTGTGACTTAACTGATAATTTATTTTTTAAAAAGAGGCTATTTCCTAAAACAATATCCCAAGCACAAGTACAAGGGTTAGGATTTCAACATGTCCATTCAGGGAATACAGTGTAATCCACAACAGAGGCTTTCTCTCATCTCATGCTGATAATACCTCCTAAGAGGCAGGACTCACTGTCTCAAGTTCACTGGTGAAGAGACCAAGGCTTAAAACAGGCTTCAGGCCCCCAGTTGGAGTCAGGATGCAAAAACTTGAATTCATGTGTTTTGACATCAAAGTTCATAGCTTTCTGCTATCCCACACTGTCTTTAAGAAGATTCCAAAAAACCTGATCTCATTCCTGTCCAGGAGGAAATCCAGGATTAAGCCTAGCTGCTGAAAACAAGCCCTAAGGAGGTTCCATCCAGAGATAGTGGGAAAGGACAGAAGGCCCTTGGAAGTTCTCTGAAAACACCATCCATTTGTTTCTTCAACAACTATTTACCAGGTGGTGACTTGACACCAGATGCCACTAGGCATCGGGCAAACAGACAAAGCTTCTATCTTAAAGTAACTCAGAATGTGGGGTCTTAGGCAGGCTTCAACTACACAATTCCACAAGCAATTACATAAATATGATTGAGGTAAGTGCTGTGAAGGAAAAGTATGTATTGTGACAAGGTCACCTATTAGAAGAAGAGAACCCAGCATATGGGGTTACAGGAAGCTTTCCCAGTGGCGTACCTTGGAAGAAAGCCCATAGAGGAAAGTCCAGTGGATCTCAGGTCTGCTCATCAAGACCTGGTCTCCTGACCTTCTGGGACACACACACACACACACACACACAAAAAAAAAAAAAAAAAAACCTAAACTCACTGGACACTGAAGGTGAGTGGGATCACATGGGAGAATAAATTTATATTTAATCATTTTAAGGGTATAGACATGACTTTCATATAGACATATAACTAACATATTTAAAGAATTTATTTAACTCACTAATTAAGATGTTTCTTTCAGTTCTAAATGGAATTCAAAGTCCTAGACCTATAAAATTGAATCAAGAATGGTAAAATAAATGTATGAATACATGTAAGTTGGCTTTTTCCATGGGAAGAGGGGAGGATTCACCTGCCCCTCCACCAAATAGAATTTATGTTGCTCTCAATTATCAACAACCTATGGAGTCATCAAGCAGCTCAAAACAGTGAACTAAAGGCATAGAGCACCACAGAATCAGATAACCTGGAATGTGTGCAAGACAATGCCTTGTTTTCCTCTTAAGATGCCCAGTTTTCTTTTGACTCATTTAAAACCTTTCATAATTTCCCTTACATACATATTAACAGACTAAACTATGTCCAAACTATATACAGCACTCTTACAGGTCAATTATAAAAATCACTTAATTCCTTGGAAAAGTGAACAAGAGAATTGAACAGGTATTTTACAAAGATATCTGAATAGACATGAAACATATGAAAAGGCTGCCAAACCACAGTAGTCAATATGAAAATGAAAATGAAAAACTACACCAGAGAAAGTAGTTCTGATTCCAACAACAGTGCAGTAGATTGGATCAGATTAACCCTTTTCACAGAGAACTGTTATAAACTACTTTGAAAACAATTATTTGAAGGCATGGAACATGACCAAAGGTAGTCAGACATTGGAAAATATTCTTCCCTTTAAACATTTACCTGAAGGAACTAGCCAGTCCATGTAGCTGGGTGCAAATAGAACTCAAGCAAAATATTGAAGTCATATTTCCTAAAGGAGGCAGATAATGAAATTTCCAGAATGCTTGGAAGTTAAAGAGAAACACAGCAAAAACCTCTGACAGCCAAGATTCAATGGGAATGACTTGTTTTCCATGTCTTACAAGTTTTCCACCCTTGCCAAAGTGCAGTCTTACCTCTTCTCCATCACTTGTTTTGTGGAAAATATGAGTTCTTCCTCTTGGATAAGTTTTTACCTTCCACAACTTCTGGCTTTTGGAAGATTGACTTAACTTACAAAGAGAGAAATGTGTTAGGAAGCAAAGGTGTCACTTTGAAGATTAAGAAGTACCTGACCCAAGCCATGTTATTCTCAATCACCTCATATGCATGTGAAACCTAGACAGTGGATGAGGATGATTGAAGAGTTGATGCCTTTGAATTGTGGTGTTGGTGAAGAATGCTGAAAATATCATGGACTGCCAGAAGAATGAACTAATCTGTCCTGGAAGAAATACAGCCGGGAATGCTCCTTGGAAGTGAGAATGGTCAGACTTCTTTTCCCCTACTCTGTGCATGTTATCACAAGGGATCATTTCCTGGAGAAGGATGTCATACTTGGAAAAGCAGAAGGTTAGTGGAGAAGGGGGAGACCCTTAATGAGATGGATTGACACAGTGACTGCAATAACGGGTTCAAGCTTAGCAAGAATTGTTAGGACTCTGCAGGGCAGGGTAGGATTTCCTTCTATTGTACATGGGGTCACTATGAGTCAGAGCTGACTCACGGGCACCCAACAACAGCAACAACAAAGAGAAAGTCACAGAAGGGGGATTCTAAAATCTTTACCTAAAATCCACTCAAAAGTGAGATTGATTTCCTATCTATCTGTACATGTGCAGGGGAAATATCAAAGGGCCCAGCAGAAAGAAACAGCTAGAAGGTTGAAAACAAAAACAAAAAAAAAAAAACCAATATTTTGTCACTACAGGAAAGAAATATCGTGGAGTCTAACTCCAGTCAAACTAAGTTATTCTTAGCAGGAAAACCAATACTTTTTAGGGGAAGATTATAAATTCCAAAGTCTGTATTACATATCATCCACTGTGTCTAGTATGCATTCAAAAAATACTAGATTTGCAAAGAAATGAGAATATGTGGTCTACAGTCAAAAGAAAAAGCAGTGAGTGGAAACAGCCCAAAGATGACCCAGGAGAATATCCAATTAGCAGCCAAGAACTTTGAATCAATAACCTATTTAAAGGCTTAAGGGAAAATATGCTCATAAGTGAATATCCACATTCTCTGGGAATATCCACACCAAAATCAAGAGGTTTTAAAAGATTCAGATGAAAATTCTCGATCTGAAAAATACAATTCTGAGAAGTAAGTA